ATCTCACGACCCCAAAACCCCAAAACCCCGTTGAGATTTTTGACAATTAATTTTATCAATTTAATTTAGAAGAATAATAAAGTTTATAAAATGAATCAGCATAATATTCCATTCAATTCTTCAATGTCATCTTTTATGTCGGCTGCAAGTCAACCCTCCGTTTAAGATTCTGAGTTTAACTAAAATACATAATATAGTCCTGAATAGTAAGACTATTGTTGGCAAATGATTAAGGTAAGTTCAGTATCATTAAAAAATGCTCTTCATATTAAGACTAATGAGTTTGAAAAAGTCTGAGAATAATGACAGGCTCCAGCAACACAATAATTGCATGAAATTAATCGATTTTCTCAGTGGATAATGATTTATTATAGATTAATGGATAGCCTCCAACAACTAGAAATTGTCATTCTTCTACCTAATTTGGGCAGTACTTGATCATATTTGGGGGTCGCGAGGGTGATGGAAAAAAGAGGATTGTCAATGACATCTACATATTCGACACAGGTTGGTAGAACTTATAAATATACTGCTCATTAATATCATTACAAAATTTTTATCAGTCAAATATAAACATTTTCTTTAGAGAAATCCAATTGGTTTCAACCTAAAATTGACAAGTCAAAACTGCCGTAACTCAGAATGGGGCATTCAAGTCAGCTTTGGAAGGGTACTCATATTATCATTTATGGTGGCTGGAACGGTGCACAAGTTCTCTCTGATGTGATCTTTATAGATCTGAGAAAGGGAATCGGTAAGTGATATCTTTACTAAGCTCATACATTCAGATATCTTGTTCTAAATAATTTTAACTGATGAACTATACTTATTTTTATATAGATAAATTACAAATTGTAATCCCTTCAATGATAAGGGGTGAAGCTCCAATGAGATAATTTCACACTGCTAATATTATAGATAATTAGATGTATGTATTCGGTGGTGGAGATGGAAAGTATTGGCTTAATGATTTGCTGATATTTGATCTTGTTAATTTAGAATGGAGTGGGCCAGTTTAGACCAATGGTATTGCTCCAGTTGGAAGACTTCAGCATTCAGCCATTTCGTATGAAAAAAAAATATTCATTTGTGGAGGAGAGCCTGATCAGTTCAGATAGCTCAATGATATATTTTACCTAGATACAAGCAATCTAACTTGGTCCAAGCCACAAGTTACCGGAGATGAGCCTAGTGCTCGGGTTTCAACAACTGGTTGTCTCATCGATTCAAGAATATACTATTTTGGAGGGTATGATGGTGTTTAGTGGATGAATGATGTGCACGTCTTTGACATTGAAAATAACCGATGGTCGAAAATAGAGACCTATGGCTATAAACCTAGACCCAGATGCAGACATACAGCTAACATAGTTAAAGGCTAGCTCTACATCTTTGGAGGAAATGATTGCGAGTTAAGCTTTAATGACATATTAGCCTTGCCAATAGGGGTTTAGGTCCCAGAGCCAACAATCTTAAAAGATATGATTGGAATGCTTGAGAATGGAACATTTGCTGATGTAACTTTCGTGCTAGGTGAGAGCAGAATAAAAGCTCATAAATGCATCCTTGCATCTAGATGTAGTTTCTTTGCTAGCATGTTCACTGTGGGAATGAGAGAGTCCTAAGAATCTGTAATCACAGTTTAGGACATAAGTGCCTCAACTTTCAAGAAGCTCCTAGAATTCATTTACACTGACTCATTCTAGTTTTAACACCTAGGACAAGATCAAGTCATAGATGTGATGGTTGCTGCAAATAGATATGGTCTTGATAGACTAAAGAGACTTTGTGAAAAGTTCCTGGTTAAACACATTGACCTGGATAATGTTATAGAGTTATTGTATCTTAGTGATATGCACCAAGCCATTGAATTAAAAAGAATGTGCATCAACTTTACAATGGCATACTTCGATATAGTTACTAAGAAAGAGGAGTTCAAGAAGCTGTCAAAGAGTATCCTACTTGAGTTACTTCAAAACAAATGAAGCTATTAATGACGGTACTTGTCAAGCTTAATTCCTTCTTGACTCATTGATGAATGGAACTCTTAGTATAAATTATCTGCCTTACCTATTACTCAAGGTATATATGAATATGATTATTGTTGTTATTGTTGGTATTTCTTAAGAATTATTACTTACCTATCTTTTAAAAATCCCTCTCATGGGGTTTTGGGGTTTTGGGGTTTTGGGG